GTTAGGGTCCCACCCTTCTCCCCTTCAGCTGAGGCAGTTAACAGGCAGGAGTCACATGCTGGGACTGGGAGGGGGTGGGGTTTGGAAAGGACTGCCCATTCTTGGGGGGATGGTCCCTGTCTTTCCCCACCTCCCCAAGCCTGGCTGGGGTCCGGAGTGTCAGACTGGGGGCGGAGGCAGAGGAAGCGGAGGACATTTCCTGTCTGGCAGACTGTGCTGGGCTGATAAATGTCCCTGAGCACTAGGTGACCCGAGAGAGTGCATCAGGGCCCTGCTGGCAGCCAAGGGCCTAGGGCAGACCCACCTCTCAGCCTCCCTGGGGCCCCAGAACCTTTGTTCCGTACTTCCAAGATACTTCGCCACAGCCTTGCCAGCTTGAATGCTGTGAAAGGGCAGCGGGCCGCCTGCCAGGAAGTGTGTGGGAATCCCCCAACTCTCTAGGGCTCCTTGGGCAGCGGGTCTGGGCTCCTGGAGAAAGTGCTGTGGGTGGGAAGGACAGAAATGCTCTGTGTGGTCTGGAGTCAACCTGGAGGCCCCCCTGGAGGAGGTGTCTCAGACGGTTTGAGACTTCCTGCCCAACCATCTGTGAGCTGGGGCCAGGGGTGCTGTGTACCTAGGGGACAGTAGAGGCTAAGAATGGCTCATTTTAACTTCATTTACCACAATTTAAAATATCCTCCTCAAGCCTTGGCAGGTGGAATTCCCACAGTGGGGAAGGGCCTTCTCTGCACCTGGGCCTGATAATTAAAAGGGAAGTGTTAGCTTGCCGAGATTACATTACCCAGGCTGATTGGATGGAGGAGAGTCTGAGAGCCCCGATCTCGGGGCTCGTGGGCCCCACAACTCAGAGCCAGGATTCCCAGCTGTTTAAGAGCCTGATATCTCCCTGACTTGGTAGCGGCTTTAGGGTTCCTTAGCATGGATGTGCCTGAACAGGGGACACAGACAACAGGCTAAGACTTCAGCCAGTGGACACAGTTGTTCTGAACTCGAGATCCTGGAGGCAGACTCATCCCTATCCTGACCCCAGGATGGCCATGGACGAAGCTGTCATCATCTCTGTGTGTTGGCTGTGGGGATTTGGGGGAATCCTGGAGCCCTCCCCCACAACTGGGAACTCCCTGTCTCAGAAGAGTAGGCTGAGCAGGTGTGTGGGGGCCCCTGTGTGGAAACTGTTCATCCCTCTGGCTGCCCAGGCTCCCAGATGCTCATGGGAACCCCCAGGTGATTAATAATTGCTTTTTGCCAAGAGCTTTTTAGCCCCTGATCCCAAGGTTGGCATGATCTGATCAGTTGCTTGTCCTCCATGCCTGGCACATAGTAAGTGCGCAGTAAACGGCTACCACCTGGGCTGAGGCCCAAGAAGGAGACCACCTTCCTGTGGCCTGGCTACCCACAGGGCCAGGAAACCTCCCCAGCACCGCCCCCTCCCCGGTTAGGGCCACAGCTGAGTGCTCCAGCTGGCCATTTCCTGACTGGAGCAGCCGCTTCTCCCCTGAGAAGGCCTTTTGTTCAGTTCCCGTGATGCCCCCTCCCAGCCCAGCCCAGCCGGCCAGACTCTCCCTGTGGCTTCTCGTGGCAGGCAGGCCTGACCTTCTCTGGAACTGGCACCTTTATTTTCTAACAATAATGGGAATAAAATGGTAAAAGCCACTTGTTTCTTGAGCCCTGTGCCAAGCACCCCACAGACTCCAGTCCCTAGAATACCCCTAGCGAATGCCAAGAGAACAGCAGCCCATTTTACAGATGGGGACACTGAAGCTCCACAACGGAGAGGTCAGCTGGGGTGGGGTGGGGGGGCAATCTCCATGGGTTTCACACTGCCTTTTCTATCAGTCCTTCTGGGTCAGGAGCATGACTCTAAAGTGTGCGGTTTGGCACCCATCTCAACCGCAGGGGTTCATTAATTCATACAGCTGGTATTTCTAGAGTACCTCCCCTAGCCAGGCCCTGGGAGTGGGCAGGAATGGAGGGCCTCTCGGTCCGCTGGGCGCACAGCCCTGGGTTCTAATCCCAGCTCTGCCCCTCACTCCCTGTGACCCCGGCAAGCCACTCCTCTAACACCTCATTTTCTCAGCGATAAAATGGGCATAATGTTGGGACTCCCCCTCCTAAGGGGAATAAACAAGTGATAAATGCAGAGTGTTTGGAACAGGACAGGGCACCTAGACAGCATGAACTAGTACTCTTTTTAAAATAAAAAATAAAAAATATATAGAGTGATAGATTTCAGAGAGGAAGGGAGAGGGAGAGAGAGAAACATCAATGATGAGAATCATTGATTGGCTTTCTCCTGCACGCCCCCTACTCAGGACTGAGCCCGCAACCTGGGCATGTGCCCTGACTGGGAATGGAACCTGTGACCTCCTGATTCATAGGTCGATGCCCAACCACTGAGCCATGCCGGCCAGGCTAGTACCCTTTCTTATTTTATTTTTTTAAATTTTCACCCTGTGGCTATTTTTCTGACCACCTGGTGGGTTGGAGACTTGGACAGGGGAACTGAATGAGACCTTTACTCATTCCTCCAGTAACATTCACTAGCAAGTGAGTCTTCTTCATGGTGTGCATTTGGGCACCTACAGGGCATTTTGGTGCAAGGGCTTCATCCTTAGCTGTGGGACCTCTCTGTGTGTTAAGTTTCTCCATCTATAAAATGGGAGCAGTTATTGGCCCTACCTCCTATTGTTATGAAGCTTGGGAGAGTTAATGTCTTGCAAGGGTAGTTAGAAAAATGTGTGAGGTATAGCAAGGGCTCAGTACACATCACTCTTATGGAGAAATTGGAATGGGGGCCATGGCCTGCCATCGCCTGGGCAGGGACGGAGCTTGGAGTGGACACAACTGCAGGGTTTGGCCCTGCAGTTGGACTTTGAAACTGACATGCAGGGGTGGACAGGGACAGGTGTTCCAGGCAAAGGGACAGGCAGACAAGCCCAGTGTTCACGGGAGGGTTGGGCCATTGGTGGGTGCTGGCCGCCATGCGTCTACCAGAAGAGCCAGAGGTTGCCAATTCACCTGAACTTTTGCATTCATTCATTCATCAACAGGCATTTATTGAGCTCCTTCCTATGCTAGGAACTGGGCATAGAACGGGGAGCTCCTGGCCTCATTGAGCTGAGTTTGGTGAGCTAAATAATCATCACTGTTAAGTATGTGCCAGACAAGGTCAGGATGTGACTGGGGGGTGGGCTTAGGGAAGTCTTCTCTTGTGTGAGATTGAAGGCAGACTGAGAGCAGGCAGGGCAGAGGCGGCATGAATGCATCACCCAGAGGCAGCTGAGGCAAGTGGGGAAGATCCCACAGGTTCCCGTAGGTGGGGCAGGAACTTGGGTCTGGCACCTGAGAGCTCTGGTTCCCCCAAACTCTGAAGACAATACCTGCCTCACATGTGTCAAGGCATGGATGTGGGGTACCCCAGGGGCAAACCCTCCCCCTTCAGCCACAGGGCTTGTATTCTTGGCAGTGTGGTGACCAAGGGCACATGTGGCTCCTTTCCCCTCCCTCTGCCTGGCTGCTTTTACTGATTACCTACTATGTGCAAAGAGCTTAATGTGTGTAGGTGCCCAGGACACTGTGATGTGCAAAAACTTCAACTTGTGCCCAGCACCCTCCCAGCTGGGGTGTCCTGCTTGATCAGCTCCAGGGTCACCACCGGGGCCTGGAGATGGTGGGGTGAAAGAAACCCATTTTTGGGTTCCAATCTCCATGTGACATTTGAGTCCCGTTTTCAAGGACTCTTTAAAATCACCTTATGTGGTCGATACCATACTGCTCCCAGTGTGACAGACTCCAAAGAATCAGGTGTCAGAGGCCACACAACCAATACATACGTGTGTATGTATGTGCCTGTGTATGTGTGTGAGCACGGGTGTGTAAAGTAGCCCCAGGAAAACAGGCATTTCTGTCTGGTTTACTGTTGTATCCCCAAGGCCTACCACATAGTAGGCCCTCAATAATACTTTTTTGGGGAGGTGACTGAGCAGCCATGATTAAGTGTCCCCAGTGGGCACCTGAGCCCAGCCTAGTTTAGTTGGAAGGAAGGCCAGTCCTAATGGTAACTAGAGAGCTCCAGGGTTCAGCACCTTGGACAGCAGAGGGTTGGGGGGCTTCTGCCCTTTGATGGCGAGGTGCCTGGGGAAGGACCTGAGGTGGAATGGAAGGGAGCCCCAGCTGGGATGGGTGGGCAAGGGTTGGCTGTCTTGACATTCCTCCATCAGAGCAGGAAATATTTTTGCACCTCTTGTGAGTCTAGTCCAGCGGTTCTCAACCTGTGGGTCGCGACCCCTTTGGCGGTTGAACGACCCTTCCACAGGGGTCACCTAAGACCATCCTGCATATCAGATATTTACATTACGATTCATAACAGTAGCAACATTACAGTTATGAAGTAGCAACGAAAATAATTTTATGGTTGGGTCACAACATGAGGAACTGTATTTAAAGGGCCAGAAGGTTAAGAACCTCTGGACTCCAGTCCATTTATTCCTTTTTTTAATATTTGTTTTTATTGGCAATAATACACTCTGACTGTAACATTTAAATAATAATAAAAGCATCCAACCCTTATTAAGCTTGTCTTAGTTTCTGAGGCCTTTACATTAATTAACTCAATCCTCATAACACTCCTATGAGATAGGTATAATCATGGTCCCATTTTACAGGTGAGGAAACTAAGGCAGAGAGAAATCAAAGAACTCACCCAAGGTCACACAACTAGTAAGTGGTGGAGCTGGAATTTGAACCCAGGCTCTGTGTTCTCCTTTTTTTTTTTTTTTTTAACAGGAGAAAATCAAAGGTTGAATTCATGCTCATGGGGAATTCACATAAGCATGAAGTTCCAAAGACAGTGAGACAACATTGGATATATAAGACATTTTTTGACAAAGGAAAAGGGAGGTGGGTATTGTATCTCGTAAGTGAGAAGGGGTGATTTACAGATAGTTAGGAAGAGCCAGAAGTAACTGGCAGGAAAAGTCTTGCTAGGCAACTCAGAAACCATGGCATACAGGGTACCTAGCGAACAGTCTGTGTTCTTTTTTTTTTTTTTAAATATATTTTATTGCTTTTTTTACAGAGAGGAAGGGAGAAGGATAGAGAGTTAGAAACATCAATGAGAGAGAAACATCGATCAGCTGTCTCCTGCACACCCCCCACTGGGGATGTGCCCGCAACCAAGGTACATGCCCTTGACTGGAATCGAACCTGGGACCCTTGATTCCGCAGGCCGACGCTCTATCCACTGAGCCCAACCAGTTAGGGCCAGTCTGTGTTCTTAACCGTATTCCTAGAGACAAGTAGTAAGTCTTCCTTCGGTACTTTCCCCTGCTCCCCAGTTCTTGTTGCTCCCAGGGGTCACCACTGTTTCTGGGTGGGTTTGCTCCAGCCACACCTTTCTTGCCCACCACCCACATTTATGTACCCACAGAAATGGGCAGTTGGGTTGTGTGTGTATGTAAACAGGATCGCAGTTTGTATTTTTCTGTGGTTTGCTTTGTCTGCTTCCTGGTGTACCTGGGAGACGTCTCCTAGGTGGTGGTGCGGATCTTCCACATCCTTTCCCACTGCTGCAGAATATTCCAGCCTGCTGGGGTCACCCACTCTGACTGATGGGCGTATAGGTTGTGACAATTAAAAAAATCTGAGATGTTCTAAGTTAAAATTACAACAATCGGAGAGTGAAAGAGAGCAGTTACAGCTGTGGGCCAGCTCTGACGAAAGACTGCTCACATTCATTCCTGTGTAACTGCTGAAATTTAGGATTAATTTCCAAGTGGCTATTTCCGTGATTGTTGAACCCCAGGCGCCTCCGCTTCTAATTTACATATGAAGTTTCTAATCTGCTACCGGCAGGAGCAAACCCTTCTCCCCCGTGGGTGTGGGTGGGGGTGTTTGCATCAGTGCCCTCTGGCTATAGCTAATGTAAATCCTTTCCGATGGATTTACCCCCCACCCCCACCCCACCCCACACTTGATGTATAAAAACTTGCAAAACTCAGGGGCTCAGGACATTTGTCTTTCCTACCTAGCCATCCGGCCTAATTAGCCCCCCCCTTTTTTTTTTTTTACCGAGAGGAAGGGAGAGGGATAGAGAGTTAGAAACATCTATCAGCTGCCTCCTGTACACCCCCCACTGGGGATGTGCCTGCAACCAGGGTACATGCCCTTGACCGGAATCGAACCTGGGACCCTTCAGTCCTCAGGCCAATGCTCTATCCACTGAGCCAAACCGGTCGGGCTAGCCCTTTCTTTTAAAAAGACTTTCAGCCGCGGGAGCTAACATTTTGTGTGACTCTGGGCCGCGTGGCTCAGTGGTTGAGGGTGGACCTGTGAACCAGGAAGTCACAGGCTGATCCCGTGTGGGGCGCGATTTTTGACGTCGTCGGTCCTGGTGAATGACCTGTCTGCTGGTGGGGGGCTTCAGTGGAACATCCTCACCTGTCTGCTCACTCCTTGTTGCCTCTCCCACTGTGTCTTTCAGCCCTGGCCACTCCACCTCCGTCACCGCCATGAACGGG